GTGAGTCAGCCTCGGCGGCGCCCGGGCGCTCTGCGGCCCCGCGTTGTCAGGGTGCAGTGCCCCTCCGGCGCGCGTCCCCCAGGACGCCAGTACGGTGGGCGGCGCACCTCTAAGAGCCAGCTGTGACAGCAGAGGCCCGCGCTGCCTGGCTCCTCTGGCTGCAGAACGAGGTGAGTGCACACGGCGCTCTTCGGGATCCTGCCGTGTCGGGCGCTGTCGGTTCCTAGGTGGGTGCTCCAGCTCAGGCGGCTTGCTCCCTCCTGTCGGGCTCAGGCCGAGGACGCCCCTTTGCCCTTTACCGGCAGGCTGAGCAGAGCCGGAGCTCAGCCAACCCCACTGAGAAGCCCAGCCTCAGGTGAGGGGGTTTCCTGTGGTCCGCATAACCACGGGGTGCGGGGAGCAGGCCGACGTATAGGGGTACCCGACGTATAGGGGTACTCCCTGGCGTTCAGCCTCCGGCAGGCTTGTCCTCGTTCGTCCCTGACCCCAGGGGCCACAGCGCCTGGTGAACGTGCTGTGTCACGGCAGGACGCGGTGCCAGCCCATTACTCGCAGCTTTCTGAGCTTTCCCAGTGTGGGCCAGGAGGCTCCGGGGGCCGGTGGCACGGCACAGCCCTCACCATTACGGCTCTCCCACGCCTGGAGCTGAAGGGGCTTTGGAAAGCCAGCTCTCCTTTTAGCAGTGCTCCAGTTCTGGGTGTGACCTCGGACAGTGAGGTGCTGCCGGGGCGCTGCTGTGCAGGGAAGGCGTGGACGGGCCCTGGCAGAGTGCCAGAGTGGGGGGCCTTCGTGGGCCCCGCCCCAGTTCCCCATAGGGCCAGGCTGGGCCGCTGGCTCACCTGTGTGTCCTTCCAGCACTTGGCTCTGAAATGGGGCTGGAGACTCCGGGGCCATCCAGGGCTTCCAAACAGCTCCCCAGCAGGTGACGTCCTGGCCAGGCCCCAGCTGAGCGCCTGTGGGTGCAGCTGAGGGAGGAGGAGGAGCTGGTGCTCCTGCAAGGCTGGCATGTGAACTAGGCCTCAGTCAGCAGCCGCAGGAGGCCGTGTGGGCTGTGCAGGTGTGCCGCGGGCCTTTGCGGAGGCCATGTGAGCTGCGCAGGTGTGCAGTGGGCCTTCCCTGGGAAGCTGTATGAGCCGTGCAGGTGTGCGGCGGAAGGCCGTGTGAGCCGTGCAGGTGTGCGGCGGAAGGCCGTGTGAGCCGTGCAGGTGTGCGGCGGAAGGCCGTGTGAGCCGTGCAGCTGTGCTGGCAGCCTTCCCCAGGAGGAGGAGCCGTGGTCCTGTGCTCAGTGATGGCCAGGGAATCGTGGCTCAGGGCTGCAGAAGCCACCATGTCAGGGACCAGGCTCCAGAGCAGGGTGGGCTACAAGGCTGGAAGGGGCTGGATGCAGTGTCAGAGTGAGACCTGAGGAACAGCAGAGAAGCAGCTATTGGAAGGGGAGGGGAGAGGAGGGCGTGAGCCGAAATGGAGGTGTCTGAGATGTTTGGGGAAGCAGGGCAGGGGCCCGCCCACGGAGAGATGTAGGGCTTTGGGACATGAGGCGGTGGTGTGCACGCAGGAGGTACCCAGTGTCCACGGTCGTGGACAGAAGGGACAGGTCTGTTGCAGGGCGTCATGGAGGGCCTGGGCTGGGGTCCACAGGCCTGGGGAGGGCACGGTGCACAGTGGGGTGTATCCAGTGGCCCCGGCACTGTGAGGCGAGTTGTACCCTAGAGGCGGCGGTTGTGTCCTAGCCTGGTGTCCGTGTAGGTCATGGTAGGGCCCTTTTCAGATGTGTCCGACTTGAGACCAGGACAGCAGGGCGGGCCTCAGGCCTGACATTGGATAAGGAGCGATCCCGACAGGGACAGGAGGTGACCGTGATCGCTGGAGGCAGAGATCAGAGTGACTGGGCTAAGGTGGAGGGTCGCCGAGGAGGGAAGAGGCAGGAGGGGACCCTCCTGAGAGCCCAGGGAAGAGGCCTCGCCTGCCACAGAAGTCACGGCTCCCTCCCTGAGCAGGAGCCCCCAGGTCGCTGCCCACCGAGGGCGGCCCA